CCCTATAAACCGATTTGTGAGCTTAAGGAACTCGGTTACGATCTTAGGTTGATTGACAACCACGTGCTACTTGAATTTTTTATGGGTAATACCTCGCATGGCCGCGGTGAGGCGAACTACAGGGTCTAGATCGAGCATTTGTAAGCAAGCGTCATTGAACCGCTCGATGTAACTCCGAATGGACTCCCCTTCCTTCTGAACTATGCCGAGGAGGCTTTCTTGGGTTCTTGGGCATCTCTTGCTGGTGACAAAATGGGAGGTGAAGATTTGCACAAACTGCGCCCAGCTTCTTATTGATCTGGGCGCGAGATTTCGGTACTAGGTGCGGGCTACCCCTTTGAAGGTGGTGGAGAAAGCCACACACATACAGGATTCACTGGCTCTTGCCAGGTGCATCTAGGACTGAAAGGCATCCACATGATCATTCGAATGGAATGATCCATCATACTTATCTAGAGGAGGGAGCTTGAAGTCCCTTGGCATGGGGACAACAAGAAGTTCTGGTGACAGGGGGGAAGGAACTAAAAGGGGAGGAGTAGCTTTTACTTCATCTGAGCTTACCTCCTCCTTACTTCTGAGCTCGGGCAAGACGCGAGTAGTAGTTCAGCGAGCTCGTCGGCGCCTCCACTGCTGCTTTGTCAACTCAGCGTTGGTGCTGCTTGCTTCAGTATTACCGAGCCCAATGGGCTCGGACTGCTAATGGTAGCTCTGAACCAAAGGGCCCTGCCTGTAATCTGCGGCTAGGACCTTGAACTAGTTTTCTACGAGGGGGAGCTCGAACTGGGAGTGCCAAGGTGATGCGGGCTTGACCGGCTGGGAGGCCCCCGACTTGCCTACAGGCTAAGAAGCGGGGGTGGATGGCCTCTCTTTCCTGCCATGGAATGAGACTTGGCTTTTGGAAGGATTCTGGGTTTGAGAGGCCTCCCCTCGGTGTGGACATTCGCTCCAGTGGGAGGGCTTGGCTTGCTTCGAGGCTGGATGCCGGGGGGGAAGTGGCTGTTGGGCCTGAGGCAGTGAGGGGAACTGCTGTTGGTACTGGCATTGAGAAACTTGATGTAGCATTTGCTGCTGGTAGAGATGGAACTGCTGGAACTCCTGCATTTGAGCCTACATAGCTCGCATGCACTGTACTAGATCCTCCAACTGGTTTTGGTTGCTCACTGGGGGAACAACGGAAGGTTCAACAAAGGTTGCTCCAGTCGTGGAAGGGAGTGGAGCGTTCACGGGTGCCACTGTGAGGGGCATGTTTAAGCTGGGAATTCTGTCCACAAAGAGGGGGACGGTGAATTGTCCAATGCAAACAGTTGGGAGCTGGGGTTGTTCCCCTGAAGCGTTCTGGTCGGTACCGCGTCCGACATTACTTGAAGAAGCCATGATTGCTAAGTTCTCAGAGAGAGCTGCAGAGATTAGAGGAAGGCTTTTTGAAGCGTTTCCCACAGACGGCGTCAAATGATGTTGCGCGATCCAGGCACTCCTAGCTGGCAGTCGATTGGCTCCTAGCTGTGACGGACTGTACCTGAAAAGAAGACGGTGAAGGATTCCCGGGGGACCTGCCCGGTGGGAATACTCTGATGCTTAAGTTAGAACGCTTCTGAGAGCAGTAAAAAGTGCAAAGAAGACTAAGAGTGCAGGTAGCGCTAGATCAATGAGAGTTCAAGGTTTACTCAAGATTAGATCAAGATATGTTCAAGATACCTTTTTCCCCTTCGACCATGGGGCTCTTAAATATGGGCGTTCTTGTCAAATCGGGCATAACCGCCACTGAACCTCTGTCACAACCGTTATTTATCAGGGCTGCGTAGGTAACCGTTGCAGGGTACTACCTAATCGGATGAGTGACACGTCCTGGGAGGACAGACATGCCACCACCTGTTGAGAGACGCGGGTGCAGTTTGTTGGGCTGGCAGGGACTGCGCCGTTAGTCAAGAGACGTGGTGCAGTCTGGCGGGTATGGTCTTGTCAGATAGAAGTTTCCTGAAAGCTGCCTTGTAGCAAGCTATTCCGTAGCGCACTGCCTTGTAGCGAGCTGTCCTGCTACGAGCTACCTTGTAGCGAGCTCTTAGGGGCACTTCGAGCCGATTCCTCTCGAGGTTGTCTTTGGGGTAGTTTTCCTGCCTAAGTACCAGAGCGAGCTGGTTATCCTAGCTCGCGAGCTGGGATAGACTTGTCTTGGAGAATTCCCCTTCAATACGTTGGGGGTCCTCGAGCTCGTGCTATTGCGAGCTCATCCCGTGGCGAGCTATAACATAGTGAACTGTCCTGCGAGCTCGTTACTTAGTCGCAATCAGGCCGTTGTGCTGAGCTATTACTTCTGTTGAGTCATGTCCACGTGTCACCTTCTCAAGGGGTCAGGTCAAATCGCCCTCCATCAGGTTCCTACAGTACCATCAATGTTGAGTTTCACCGCTCCTGCTGATGGTGTTGACCACCTAGTTGAGTTGACAATCAAAGGGGAGTGAGGCAAGTTGTGAACACTGGATTCATTGGGAGTATTTTGGATAATCATATTTTCAAATATCTGAGCCTGGTTGATAATTGAAGGAGGGTGGAAAATTGAACCTTTAAAAACCAACCCATTGCATGCTGTCCAGATGAACCATAACAGGCTTGCACTTCTCAAGAAAATATAATTTTCACCATTTTGTTCCTTGTCCAACTCCATCCATCATTCTATCCAGTTAATGAGGTGGCCTACTTCATTGTTCATACGAATATTCAAACTGGAACCAAACCAGATACATCAGACCATCTCACAACCAAAAAATAAGTGTTGAACTATTTCCTCTTATGCATTGCATATGGGGCATAATTTATCTGATATGCGGTGGAGCCTGAAGAGATTAACTTTAGTGGATAGGAGATTAGAAACACTTCCAAATGAAGAGTAGAATATTTGGTGGTAGTAACTTGGTCCTCCAAAATGAATTCCAACTTATGTTTTGAGTCAACAAGTCATTGTTAGAAGATGAAGGAAGTTCATTTAGTAAGGATTTCATACCAGATTTGGTGGAGTAATTATCGCTGAGCATAGGGAGCCAAACTAATTTATCATCAAAATGAGCTTCCGAAGTAGGCAACCGAATTGAGAGAATTGATTGGATTGTGTTGTGGTCAAAGTAATGAGCCAATTTGTCGTGATCCCATGTTCCCCTCTTGTGATTGATGAATTCAGCTACTTTGGTCTTGGAGAAGTCTTCACTTACTTTGGTCCAATCAGCTTGGATGCCTAAAATCCAGTTATCCACAAAAGCATTTACAGCCCATTCTAACCCTATTAACCATCTACTACCTTGATGTAAGAATTGTTTGCAAGTCATTAAGCTCTTCCAAGTGGTAGAGGCGTTGGCTTTTGATTTTGCTAGCCAAAAATTTTGATTTTCTAAATATTTGGCCTTGAGAATTTTTACCCAAAGTGCATTATTTTCCTTCAGGAATCTCGATACTAATGCCTTGTTCCTCATTTTAGTATCATGAAGACCAATTCCACCCTGATCCTTGGGTTTCAACAACAATTTCCACTCCTTTAAGTGAACTTTGTTTTTTCCTTCAGTTGAGCCCCACCAAAAGTCTTTGCAAAGATTATTGATTGATGAGCAGATAGCTTTTGGCAATAAGAGAGTTTGCATATGATAATTTGGAACAACTTCTATGGTTGATTTTATAAGCATTGTACGACCAACTTGGGAAATAGTTTTACTTTTCCACCCACTCAATTTCTTTTGGATTTTCTCCACAATAAGGTTCCAATCTTTAATCTTAGAATTGCTGAAAAATAGCGGCCCGCCTAAATAGCGTTCATTTTTGTTCATCTGTCTCACCCCTAGGAATGAAGCCGCTCTCAATTGTAGTCTTCTATGGGTATTGTTACTGAAATAGATAGTTGATTTACGGAAGTTTATCATTTGTCCTGACCATTTGTAGAAAAGATCAAGAATCTCCATAAGACGATGTATTTCAGTCCAAGAGGTCTTACCAAACAGAAGCAAATCATCCACAAATCAAAGATGGTTAAACTTGATGCCCGATCTTCTAAATTTAATTCCATGAAGAGTACGGCGCTCTAAATTATCACAAAGGAGAGAGGAGAGAGTCTCAATGCACATTATAAATTAGTATGGAGACAATGGACATCCTTGACGAAGTCCTCTCGATGGCCTGAATGTTTACCCAGAAATTCCATTAACCAGCACTACCAAGGTAGGAGTGGAGATGCAAGCTAAGATAAGAGAGCAAAAACTACCCCGGAAATCCAATGACTACAAAACCTTCAGGAGGAAGGACCATTCAATCCTATCATAGGCCTTAGAGAGGTCCATCTTTAGCATGAAGTACCCTGTTTTGCCCTTTTGTTTCTTCATTGTATGGACAACCTCATGTGTTATTATGGTATTATCAGTTATTTTCCTCCCAAGAGTGAAAGCACTTTGAAAAGGAGATATGATCCGAGGGAGAATCTTTTTGAGTCTCAGAGTGATGATTTTAGCAATTATTTTGTAAGTTACATTGCATAGTCCAATGAGTATAAAATCGTTTGCTTCTTCAATACTATTTGATTTTGGAATTAAACAGATTGAAGTTTGGTTTACCTCTGCGATTTGATAAGGATCTCGGAAACACTCTTGGATCAAATGAGTCAACTCTGGGCCAATGAGGTTCCACAAATGTTGATAAGCTATGCCTGAATCTCGTCAGGGCCTGAAGCCTTAGTAGCAAAATAATTGTTTATAATAATCTGTTTAGATCTGTCTGATGGTTGAGGGGGAGGACGTCCAAGATCCATTCTCATTCTTTAGCGAGTGGATTGACGTTCTTCTTTTGTTATTGGAGGCCAACATGTGAAAGTAACGGGTGTTACAACCCCCCTCACGTATCTTTGAATCCTGAGATCTTTGTTTCCAATATTTTTCTTCTTTGTCCAACCAACGCTCAAGTTCGAGTCGCACAGCTTTTTCCTCTTCACCCATATCGCAAGCCACATCAAGACTTCGTAAATAAGAGAGCTACTGTTCCAACCTTCGAATGTGGTGGTGTATACAACCATATTTACGTTGGGCCCAAGAGACCATTCCATTCTTAACCGTCTTGCATTTATCAATGAAAGATCTTGGAGCAAGAGTCCAATTCTCAAAGAACTTGTCGTAGAAATCATTGTCCTTGAACCAAAAAGATTCAAACCGGGTATGTCCAGTTCTTTTTTGCTTTAGAACAAGCTGCAACAACAGTGGTGAATGATCACCGGCGAGCATTGGCAAGTGGAATACAGTTGCATTTGGGAAATTTTCTGACCAATTGCAGGAAACTAGAGTTCGATCCAAGCGCTGCTTTACTAGGTTCTGGGTATTGTGACGGTTTGACCAAGTAAAATGAGGACCGGCACCACCCAAGTCAATTAAAGCACAATCATCGAGGAGTTTAGTGAACTCTTTTAGCACTCTTACTTTTAGTTGAGCTCCAGTGTTTTTTTCCCCAACTTTAGTAATCATATTCAGGTCACCAATTATGCAGTAAGGTTCATTATTGGCACTATTGAAAGATCTAACAAAATCCAGAAAAGATCTGCGCCCTTCAATTGATGGATGCACGTAACAACAAAGAAGGTCCCAGGTGGCATAACGGGGAAAACCATGGATTATAGAATCAGAACTTGAAATTATCTCAACATTGATGTTACGATCCCAACCAAACCACAAGCCTCCAGCAAGGCCATGACAAGGAACAATATGGATTTTGTAGTTGTTACAGAGACGTAGCAACCTTGTAGACTTGTCTAACGAACTCTTTGTTTCAGATAGAAAAAAGAAGGACGGACGTTCCATAAAGAGAAGTTTGTTAAAATTTTGAACTGTCGGTCGACTTCCCGCACCATGGCAGTTCCAGGTCCACAGGCATGTTCAATTTCAGATTAGTCTCCGTAGCTTTCAAGCGAGCTCTTTTCTTTAGTCGAATACGGTCTTCTGAAACATGTGGTAACTCATTGGGAATGCAGTCCATCTCGTCTTCCACCAGAGGTTCGGCATAATCTGCTTTACGTTTGGTGGCTATCCTCTTTGTGACTTCCCTTGGCGCATGAATAGTGAGAGATCGATCAGAGAGAATTGCAGGGGCATGATCGGAGGTAATGGAATGAGATGAGTCTTGGTTGTACTTGCCTGATTTGGCGGGTGTGTCACCGACAATTTCGGTAGTAAACCTGCCCTCCCCCTTTGTAGGTATTTTCTCTCCGTCGCATCTATCTGCAAGTCGGGTTGTGAGATCTTTTATTTCTGGTTCAGATCGTTGGTTTAACTTTGCTTGAGTCGTTCCTCGAGTTCCAAAATTGATTCGCTCCCTGTTGCTGGAATTGCCATCTTCTCCGGTACTGGTGACTGGTGACGGAGATTGCTTCTGCGGTGTCGATTCCGTTCTTGAGATTTTCATCTGTGCTTTAATTTCATCAGTGGTGCAGTTGACAAGGGCTGTTTTTAATTTATGCTTGGGACGGCAACCACCAACTTCATGTCCAATGCGCGCGCAAAAAGTGCAAAACCTCGAAAGTCTCTCATATTGGATTTGGACCATAATGGTTTCTCCTGAATTGTTGGTCAATGGGGTCACTCAAACTTTGGAGGAGAAGCTTTGAGGCGTGTCTAAAGACAGTGTCTTTATAACGTTATTTGTTTCCACTCAGTTTTACCGATTTTGCTGTTGGGTTTCAGGCAAATCCGTTCTCAGGATACAATAGAGCATTGGGCAAGAATTTACAACCAGCAAAGTTGAAAAATCTCTGAAAAAACCTTCCGTGAGACTGTAATAGACCGGACTGAGAGAGAGAGAAAGTAGATTTCGAAATTGTGTGTTTTTGAAGTCTGATTCATGCTCCTTATAGTTTATGAAGAGGTATGAAGAAAATGTAGGTGTTGGTTTAGAGAAGCACCTTGAATTGTGACTGTTTAAAAAATAGTTAACAGTTAATGACTATTAACTTTGAATTGTGCCTCTTGATCACACCCGATCGAATCGTGACCGTTGATCTCATCAACGGATAGTATCGCACAAAAACGAAGGCCACCATTCGCGAGCCACACAGGTGCAAGCAGCGTGCACCTCTAAAGCACCTCATTGCGTCGCACACACACATGCACATGTGTGCACGCACATTGCACGGTATCAAACCCCATACTCTCTACTATTTCTAAGGAGTGTAAATCAGCTCATACTAAAATACTAAAAATAAAATTATAATTTTTAAACGTGTGACAAGTTCAAAACTAGGTTTTGTAAGAGAAAAACTAATTTTTCAATCAAGTGTATAGGTGCAATTTCTCATGTAATTGACCAATCAAACTCATTGGATTTAATCTCTTATGAAATTAAAATCCAACAAGAATTTTGTAGGGTATTTCTTGTGTTTAAGGAGCCGATACATCAATGTTTATCTTCAGCCTGCAAATCTACCCCATTTTGTTACCTCTTCTTGTGATGGTCGGTAAGGTTTGCCAATTCGCGATGCCACCTTGCAAGCGGCATTCACGTTCAAATAAGCCAACGAGAGCCCAATCAGATGAACATATAGGAGATCTGCATGTGTAAACTCATAGGACTCTGGCTTTTGGGACAGATCACCTTTTTGGAGGATAATAAAGTCATCCTCAAAAAGCCAGGGCCCTTTGTCGATGATCTGATCTTGATTGAATGAGCTTTCAAACCTCACCATGTAAGCATCTTTAGTGAGCTCTAGTGTTGTCGGGACCTTCCAAGCTTTTGTGATCATGTCCTTTAAAACAATGGACTTTACTATTTTATCATTATGCACCTTAATAATAAGGTTACGTTGCCATGCTTCATTTGGTAGAGCATCTTCAACAGAAGCCTCCACCGCGTTAGGAGTGGCAGGGCCAAGGATTCTGGAGAGCTCACGGAGGATATCATCATCAGCCATCCAGGTGGATGGAGTAAGAGATCACAGGGGGATGGGAAGCAAATGGATGATGGAAGGGGGTTTTGTAGAGGGGGAGAGGTGAAAGAGAGAAGGTATGAAAACCTGCATAAGACGTAGGAGGGAGATTTTTAGAATATCTCCCATATTTGCATATTACCATTAATAAAAAAATGCGTGGATAGGCGTGGGTAGAATTCTGTAGGCAGGAGATCTGTTCCTCAAAGAGTACTTACGGTCATAATATCACATCTCGCTATGTATTAGGAACATCTCTCGTAAGTATATATATATTATAAACAAAGCAGTGAAAGAAACTTTTTTTTTTAATTTTTTAATTTATTTATTTCATTTCATTTTTGAAACAATCAATGAAATGCACTTTCCCATCACAACGTAAATAATCTCTTATTCTAAAATTTCTCTTAAAATACCTCCCCCAATATCCCCACTATCTCTAATTCCTATTTATCTTCTAAATTATCTCTAATTCTTATTTATCATCTCCCCTACTTTTTATCTATGTTTATTTAAAGAAAGTTTGGATTAAAAATTTTAAGAATTATTTAAATATTCTAACAAAATTATATAATAACTTTAAAATATTTATTAAAAACACAAAAAATAATTTTATATTTTTACAAAATATATCACGAAATTATGTATTAACTGATGAAGGGGAATTTGACTTGACCTCGTAATAGGAAGACACGCGGACGTGACTTGGCATAAGTGACAACTCAGCATGATCAGTTTGCTACAAAGCGACCTCAGGTATCCTGATGCCCCAAACTGAAGCTATCCCGAACTAAGATCACCCCGATATCAGATCGCGACCAGGACGACGATATCAAGTCTGCTACAGATCGAGCCCGGATAGATGGACCACCTCAGAAACAATCCACCTCGAAGACAAGACTACCTCGGTGCAAGATCACCTCGGTACTAAGGCACTTCGGCATTCGGAGCAGGTTGGGTCTGAGGAACACGAGCTCAGGCAGTTTGCCCCTAGTCAGCTCCCCATCAGGCAGCCCGGCACCTTACAGGCAGCTCGCCTCCTATTCAGACCGACCACTGCATGGCAACCCCGAGGATCTTACCACCGTGCTCCGCGTCTTACGGGATCGTACCTTGTAACGGCTATATTAGCTCACCCACTCCCCAATTCAGGCGGAAATGGGTAACCTTACCAGTTGGTGGCATTTTACCCACCGAACACGCAAACGGATCCCATCACAGCGAGGATCCAGGAACCACTCTACCAAACCCGTGCGGACTCCGGTATATAAGGACCTCACCCCCAAGGGGCGAAGGTATGATGTGTAATCTTTGCTCTCTAGCTCTCTAACTCTCAAATATCATCTTCAAGCTCTCTACTACTAAGTGTTAATTTAACCATCAGAGTGTCCCCGCCGAGTAAGCCACCCTGGGATCTCTGACTCCTTTCTTGCAGAAACCTCAGTTCTCATCGTTGCTGGTAGCCATATCGTCTCCAGCAGGGAGCAATCGGATTACGCCACATCATTTGGCGCCATCTGCGGGAAATCGTTACTAAAAGCCTTTTATATCCATTTCAAAAATCTCAAGCTCAAGATCAAATCCATGGCTTCCTCCAGCAACGCCGGACAAAATGAAGCAAACATCTCTGGGGGGAAACCCCAGTTCCCGTCTGTCTGCATAGGTCATTTCACCATACCGCTATCCGCGGGAGGAATCCTAGCACTGACCGTGACTCAGCCAATCGTGCCCGTGAATGCCCCACTTCCCCCTGTAGTGGGTGCGACTTCCGTTGAACCCTCTATGGTTCCCCCTAGAGCCGGACAAAACCAACTAAGTGATCTGGTACACTGTGTGCGGGCTATTCAAGCCCAAATGCAACAAGTCCAGCAGTTCCAGCATTACTAACAGCAAGTTTTGCACCACATGTACCAGCAACAGTTCCCACCGCTACAGCATAACCAATAGCCGACCCCGCCTCAGTGTCCGATCAAACCAAGCAAGCCTCGCCGCCAAAACAGCCGTCATTGTCGGGGGGAGACCACCCAGGTCTCGTCTCGCGGCAGGAGGGAAAGACAATTTGTTCCTCCCATCTCCCAGCAAGTAAGCAGGTCGAGAGATACTCGACCCACCAGAACTAGTCCACCCCGGCCCTCGCAACCTGAAGGCACTCTTGCAGGAAACCGGTTCGAGGTCCTAGTCGTAGACTCCAGACAAGGCCTTGCTGTCCGCAGTAGCCAGCGTCAACAGCCTGAATCACTCCCGGCCAAGACACCTTCTGACAGCGCGGAGGTCAGCAGCACTGCTGCGGAGCCAGTTAAGTAACAACGAAGGAGACGTGCTAAGGCATCTCGAGCAGTAGACCGAAGCCAGCTCGCAGGACCTAGCCGACCTGAGCAGCCTAATGGTAAGGTGGAGGTAAGCTCGGGAATCACAAAAATCGCTCCCCTTCTCTCTGTACCCTCTCCACTGTCCTCCGAGCTCCTAGCTACTCCGAGGCCGAAGGACTTCAGGGTACCCCCCTGGATAAGTATGACGGGTCTTTCGACCCCAATGATCACATAGACTCTTTCTAATCCCAGATGCATCTCGTTGGGGCTGATGAAGCTTGCATGTGCATTGCCTTCTCCACGACCTTCAAAGGGGTAGCTCACACTTGGTACAGAAACCTCGTGCTTGCGACAGTTAAAAGTTGGGCGTAGCTCGTGCAAATGTTCACCTCGCACTTCATCACTAGCAAGAAGTGTCCGAGGTCACAAGAAAGCCTCCTTAGCATAGTCCAGAGGGAAGGAGAGTCGGTTCGAAACTACATGAAATGCTTCAACGACACGTTTACTAATCCCGGACTTAGACCCCGTCGTAAGACTCATGGCAGCAAAGAAGGGTATCACCCACAGGGAATTC